ATGAGGAGGCTGTGACCCAGCAGCCCAAACAGCAGGTGACAATGACAGGACTTGACCAGGGTGGGTGGTACCCTAGGACCACCTGGAGGGATGGACAGGCAGAGGCCAGTCTGTGGTCAGGAGGCCTTGGGGAGTTACTGGTACAGGATAGGCATCTGATCCCGGGCCACAGAACTGTGGTCCAGCTGCCCATCTGGTTACTGGGGTGTGGGTGTCTAGGCTCAGGCTCAGGCCAGGCCTGAGGGTCCCCTGACCTAGATTTTTATTTTCATCTTTTTTTTTTTTGTAGTTGTTTATGGACAGCATGACTTAATTTTATTTGTTTATTCTTATGTGGTGCTGAGGATGGAACCCAGTGCCTCACACATGCAAGGCAAGTGATCTGCCACTGAGCTGCATCCCCAGCCTTTTTTTCTGGTTTTGTCCCACAGGAAAACAGTTCCTCAAGCCAGCAGATGGATGACCTGTTTGACATCCTCATTCAGAGTGGAGGTAAAGCCCGAACCCCCAGCCTCCCTTTATTCATAGGTTATCTATATAGCTTAAGGTGATTTGGTTGATTTCTCTTTGCTTCTTTCTTTTTCCTGTGCTGGAGATGGAATCCAGGGATGCTTAACCCCTGAGCCACATCCCCAACCTTCTTTATTTTTTGAGACAAGGTTTTGCGGGGTTACTTAGGACCTCACTAAGTTGCCGAGGCTAGTCTTAAACTTGAGATCCTCCTGCCTCAGCCTCCTGAGTTGCTGAGACACAGGTGTGCACCACTGGGTCCAGCATTGATTGATTTCTTGAACACTGGACTATACAAGGGCTGTGATAGTGGAGTCCTTCTGTAAATGTTCCTTTTACTTGGCCCCCAGGACACCTTGGAATGCAAGAGATTTTCACCTTTGTGGAGCTCAGTCCAGGGTGGGAGAGAAACAGCAAATATAATGAATAAGCTCAGTGTCTGGACCAAGAGCCGGTGGTGTTAGGACAGAATGCAGCGAGGGAGGGGGCGGTGTGGAGGTGTGGCCGTGGAGAGGCTCAGGAGCAGCCCCAAGCAGGGCGCCATGAGGCCACTGCTAGGTGCCCTAGGGGTGGTTTCAGGGTGGTGGGGGATGGGGCGGCAAGGAGGCCTCCTGGCTCCAGGGTGGTGTGCGCAACCCAGAGCGGAGTGGTTCTGTTGGGTGTGACCCAGGCTCTTCAGTGTTGTGGAAGTTGTGGCCATTGCAGGGACCCCTGTCAGGGGTAGGGGACTGGGCCCTGGAGAGTGGGCCTTTGGTTCGTGTTCTTGTGCCTCAGGTGTAGTGAGGAAGTCAATGGCCAAGGATGACTCAGGGCTGTGGCCTGAGGCCTCAGGAGGTTGCCATTGCCCAGGGCCATGTGGGGTGCAGCCTCAGGTGGGGAGATACTTGTCAGGAGGCAGCTGGGTGGCCTTGGCGTGGCTGGTTCCAATAGATCTGGGCTGGAATCTGTGGTGCCCAGAATTGCAGTTGGAGCCAGTTGTCTGGAGATTTGAGCCTGTTAGAGCAGGAAGGGTGGGCGCCAGAGCCCTGGCCTTTGTGAAAGAGAGGGACAAGAAGATGAGGCCAAGCAGTGGGCAGATGTGACACCCTGGAAACCAGCATGGGCAAGGCGGGTGAGGTCTGAGACCTGATCTCGAGGTGGGGAGCAAGCATTGTGCTGTCACCAGTGGTCACGCTCCCTGGGAGTTTTCTTGCAGAGCAGGGGCAAGGAACTAGGGCAGGTGGGAAAAGCAACAGCTTGTTTGCTGAGCACCGTCACACACAGGAGGTGGTATGGTGGGGAGGGACCCCCTTAGCTTAGGGAGAAGGGCCCTGTGGCTGGAGTGGAGGGGTCAGCTTCTGGGAGGAGTGTGGGGACTCCCATGGTGGCAGTAAGAAAGAGGGCAGAACCCGTGGTACAGATGTGGTGGGTCTGTAGGGTTCATGCACCAAGCGTGGAGAATCCTTTCTGATGGGTAGGATTGAGTGCAATGGGGCAGGTGACACAGAGCTCAGCCACAGAACAGTGTACTTCAAAAATGGCGAAGTTTGTGACAGTTTATAAAATAAGGGCTCAATGATTCTCAAGCCCCAGGGGCATCTTCAGGTACAGGCCCCGTGGTGGGGCCTGAACTGTTTCTGACCAGTGCAGGTGACCCAGAACCTGCTGATGTGGAACTGCTGGGCTGGGAGCCGAGGAGAGGCCTCGGCTTGAGCTCTGGGTGCCACCGTGTCCACAACGAACCTTGGGAGGGATGCTGTTGCCCAGGAACAGAGACTGAGGAGGAAAAGGGGGTGATCCTTGAATTCTAGTATTTTAAAAAATGGCAGAAAAACAGATGAGGTGTGGCCTGCCTCAAAGGGTCACTAAAGCGGCAAGAATCCCGAGAGAGGAAGGTATTTGAAAGTGGTAGGTGGTGATGGCTGGAGGCTGAGGCTCCTTGTCTAGTGAAGCAGCTGCAGGGGAAGGTGTTCAGTTGGGACAGTAGGGACCTAGACTGGGGTCAGGGAATAAGCCTGGTTCTATGTAGTAACACATTCATTATTGTGATAAGTAAGATGTATATAATAATAGAATTTGCCATTCTGACCACCTGTAAATATAAATTCAGAGGCATTAAGTATGTTCTGATGTGTGCCACATTGCTTCTGGAACCTTCTCACCCCAAACTGAAACTGTATCCATTAGAAACTCCACATTCTCCTCGCCCACTAACCCCTGTTCTGCTATCTCTGATTTTGACAAAGTACCTCACATAAGTGGAATCATAGTTGTCTCTTTGTGGTTTATCACTGGCACTGGGTCTTCAAGGTCCATCCGGTCATCTGTCGGTGGACGTGGGGCTGCTTGAGTTGCTGTGAACAGTGCTGTCATCCTGAGTGTCTGAGGGTCTCTCTGAGATACCACTGCTTTCCATTCCTTGGGATGTGTACCCAGAAGCAGGACTGCTGAATCATATCGTTTGTTTTTGTAGAGCCTACCCAAGCTTTTTCCCTAAGTAGCTGGACCATTTTACATTTCCATTAACAGTGCACTAGGGTTCTCATTTCATATCCTCACCAACGTTGACTTCCTTTTTGGTGTTGGAGATCAAACCCAGGCCCTAGTGCATTCCAGCCATGTGCTGTACCACCTCCCAGCTCCTTGCCACTCCTCCTTCTCTGTTGTTTGGATAATAGCCATTCTAATGGGTATGAGGTAGAATCTCATGTTTGAATTTGCTTTTCCCTAATGACTGAGATGTTGAGCATCTTTTTTCATGTGCTGTTGGCCTTGTGTGTGTGATGTCTGGAGGTGTCTCCTCTTGACCCCGCCCCCCAGGACTGGAGGCTGGACCCATGGTGCTTCAGCACTCAGCTACACCCCCAGCCTTTTACTTTTGTCTTAAGACAGGGTCTCCAAGCTGAGTTGCTGAGGCTGACCTTGAACTTGCAATTCTCCTGCCTCAGCCTTTCAAGTAGCTGGGGTTATAGATGTGTGCCATACCACATTCAGCATTTTTGGAAAAAATATTTGAGTACTTTGCCCATTTTGAATCAGGTTGTTTTCTGTTATAGTTCTTTATAAATCCTGGGTATTAATCCCTTATCAAATATGATTTGCAAGTATTTCCTCTCATTCTGTGAGAAGCCCTTTCACTCACTCTTGGTGTAGTGTCCTTGGAGGTACAAAAGTCTTAACTTTTGATGTAGTCTAACTTGTCTGCCTGTGCTTTTGCTGTCACAACCAAGAAATTACTGCCACATCAGTCATAGATTTCCCCTTTTCTCCTGTTTCATAGCTTTAGCTTGTACACTTAAGACTTTTATTTTATTCTTCTCTATAGTATGAGGTAGGGTCTCTGATCATTCTTTGGCATGCATTCAGGCCTGGTTTCTGACATCAATGCACTGTCTGTCTCAATTGGCAGAAATTTCAGCAGATTTCAAGGAACCACCGTCTGTACCAGGAAAGGAGAAGCCACCCTCAGCAGCAGCCTGCAGTTCCCCGCTGGTGACACAGCCCTCGCCTTCCCCTGACCTTCCTCAGGCTGCTCCCCCTCCACCAGCATCACCTGCCCTCCCAGGGCGCCTGGAGGACTTCCTGGAGAGCAGCACAGGGTTGCCCCTGCTGACCAGTGGGCATGAAGGGCCAGAGCCCCTTTCCCTTATTGATGACCTCCATAGCCAGATGCTGAGCAGTGCTGCCATTCTGGACCATCCCCCATCCCCCATGGACACCTCAGAATTGCACTTTGCCCCTGAGCCCAGCAGCAGTGTGGGCCTGGACCTGGCCGATGGCCACCTGGACAGCATGGACTGGCTGGAGCTGTCATCAGGCGGCCCCGTGCTCAGCCTGGCACCCCTCAGCACTGCAGCCCCCAGCCTCTTCTCCACAGACTTCCTTGACGGCCATGATCTTCAGCTACACTGGGATTCCTGCTTGTAGCTTTCTAGCTCTGGACACCAAGGATAGGGAAGGGGCTAGAGTTGGGGAGCCAGGGAACTGCAGCTAGCAGTTCTGTGCAAGGCTCTGTGTGGCTTGAGTCTTGACAATCACAGTCCCTGCTTTCTCCCTTCCCTGGAAGGTTGGAGCAGTTGGGCCCTACTCCTGGCTCAGGCCCACCCAGGGCAGAGATGACCTGTCAAGCAGCAGCTCTGGGTCCCACACTGGAGGCCTGGACAGGCCCAGGGCCATTTCAATTTGACCTCCTTTTTGAGGTCAGAGTTGTAGTGTGTGGCTACAGTTTGGCTAAGGCAGGTGAGGCCCTGTCCTGAGAATCTTCTGCTGGTCTAGGGGCTGAGCTGGGTCAAGGGCTGACTTTTCTTCCTTCTCTTACCCCTCTGCTGTGAGAGAAGAAGCTAGCCTGGACCTGTACTCCCCATTCCGTGTATCAGCTGGCCAGCCCCAGGGCCCCCTGCCATTTTAGTGTCTTGATGTAGTGTAACCATTTAGTGGTTGGTTGGCAAGATTTTCTGTACAGGTGTATGTATATACCTCTATATTATATAACATACATATATACATTTATTTGGGGGGGGGGAGGTGGGAGATGGGTGTGGCTCCCTCCCTTCCTGCTTTCACATATACATGGGCCAGGAGGGTTGCTGGGGGCTGGATACAGGGTCATATTGAGCTGTGTGATATATACAGTGCCCAGTACCCAGCCTGGTGTGCAGAGCTGCCTGGGCCCACCCACCCCTCACGTGTTTGACATGTAGATATCCTGCCACAGCGTGCACCCCACCTGTCCTGCTTCCTCAGTGCCAAGAGGGCAGAGGTGCTTCCTGGTCCTGTCAGGAGCTCTCTACCCACCCACATTCCATCCCATTGCCTCACTGCAGCCAAGAGGGCCCTGGGACAGGGGACCCAGCTCCACCTTGCTGTTGGGCTGACAGGGGGCCACTCACTGGCTGCCTCCTGTCCTGGGGCCACTGGCCTCACTCACTTTTGGCCTGATTCATAAGGGGAATAGGGATGGCGTCTCCAAAACCAATGCTGGGACAAAGGTGGGGAAGCTGTGTGAATTTTTTTAAAATAAAACAAAAACACCGACTTGTGTGTCTTGTTTCATCTACAGAAGGTAAGTGGTTGTGATAAAGGAACCTGTATCTGGAGGCCATACAGTGACCCCCATCTCAGCTCCTTGTCAGGCTGATTGGGGGGGGGGGGACTACAGCTCTGCAGCCTGGCTGAGTGGAAGAGGGGAGGCACTTTTCTTAAAGAGTTGTTTATTTACAAACAAAACCAGAGGTCAAGGGGTCTTTATCTGCCATTAAATACCCCCGCTTCCTGAGCAAAGACAACAGATGCAGCTCACCACCACCTCATAAGGTTTTTGGTTAATATGAACTGTGCAGCTGGCCAGGGCTTCCTTAGGACCCTGGGAGGGAAAGGCTGAGCTGGGCACCCTCCTCCTGCCAACAGTGGGAACCTGTAGTAAGAAATCCTGAACCCTGGTCATGGGCCCAGACATGGCTCTGGAGTTTTCTCCTTCCCTGGACCCCACAGCTTAGCAGGTGGGTACCACTCTCTTCCTGTTTGAAGGAGGGGCCTGCCTGGGTGGCTGGGGGAGGCCTGGGCCTGAGAGGGCGGTTGCAGAAGCATCACCCATCTATGTCCCAGCTGAAAAGGTGGTGCTTCACCAGCATGTCCTGAACACCCTCCTTGAGTGGCTGCCTCTCTTCCTGTGTATAGGTACAGAAGAGCCTATCAGATGTGGGCTGGGGCCAGAGCAATCCCCAGARCTGATGCACTCAGAGGCCTCCCCTGGACCCCAGCCATGCCCAGAACCCCTGGGGATGCTCCCCCAGCACGGGTCCCAGTCCTCCTGGGGAAAATAGGGCTAAGGACCAGCCACATACCACCCACCTCTCTCTTTGCAGGGAGCTCCCAGTCCTGGGACAGGCTGAAGGCAAAACAGCAGAGGACCCTAGGGGGTGGGGGGGTGGAGGCTCTCATCACCCTGGACCATCTTGCCCACCTCCCACCCCAAATCCAAGGGGTCTACAGGGCGTGCCACCTGCCAAGAGCCAGTCTCACCGGAGCTCGCACTTGATCTGGACCCAGCCAGGGCTGCGCAGGAAGGACCAGGGCTGATACCACTTCTCCACAGTGGGTAGGCTGGAGCAGAGTACCTCCAGCCACAGGTGCAGCACCTGCTCACTGGGTGACAAGGCTGGGAGGAGCAGGAGGCAGGGCCATGGCCCCCTCAAGACTCCCCCAACCTGCTCCCCTTCTCAGCTCCTGCACACACTCAGGGAGGCCAGAACTCAAAGTCCCAGATGCCCTGAGGATGCCTCTCTATTCTTTGGGGTCCCCTTTGAAGGTCCCTTTCCTGCCCACTTCTCTCCACTTACTTGAGCCCCACGCAGATCAGTGAGCGGAGCTTGACATCCATTTGTGCGTGTGCCGCATCATGGGTCACATTCACAGACTGCACAGCCTGAGAGGGGGCAGCTGTTACTGGAGCATTCTGCCAGCTACCGAGATGTCTCAGGCTGGCAGAGTGGCCACACTCACCCGGTAGAGCAGCTCCTCTGGGGTCAGGACTTTGCCATCCTCGTCCAACCTGAGGGGACCAAAATCCAGCACTGCCCTGTTGCTCTGGGCTCTGGGTCACCCCCGCCCTCCCACACAGGAAGGAGGATGCCAGACAGCACCCGTTACCTGTAGGTCTTACAGAGTACCAGGCGGGAATACACCGAGTCAAAGTCTCTCTCCACCTCCCGGCCTGCTGCCTGTGGGGACGGGAAGGGCTAGTGAGAGCCACAGGGTCCAACTGAGCACACACCTCCACCCTGAAAGTTCCTCTGCCCACCCCTAGGGCAAGCAGAGCATGGGATGGGCACCATGTGGGCAGGGGACCAGAAGCGACTCACCTCCTCAATGAACAGCCAGGGATGGCAAGCACCCCCGAGCAAGGATGGCCTCTTCAGTCCATGTTCAAACAAGGCCTTGAGGGCTGGGCAGAGGGTCCCTCGCACAAGGTCTGTGACTCCCTCCGTCACTGAATCATCCCCCGCAATGGAGTACTGATGGGGGGAATGTGTCTGAGAAGCTCAGACCCACACTTGCTGCCAGCCACCCTTTTCCCTGTCCTGTGGCCACTGCCACAAGCCAGGACTCACTCAGGCCACACCCCTGCTGTCCCCAGGGTTGGGGCAGGAGCAGCCTTGCCCTGTCTGCCTCTTACCTCTTTGCTCCGTTCGTCTAGGACTTCCACAAACTTGGCTGGGAACCAGCCTACGGGAGAAGAGGTCCCCGTGAGGGGCAGCCAGTGTCTGTTCTGACCCTTCCCCAGGGCTAAGGATATAGCTCTCCCTATAGGCCACGAGGAACCTGCGGGCAGGGTAGGGCGGCCAGGGGCCTTGAGCCAGGCAGCACAGTGGAGGACAGGCTGCGGCTAGATGTGGGCCTCACCTCTCAGGCCGTTGAGCTCTCCCACCCAGCAGTGCTCGTCCTTCTGAGACACGATCTACACAGAGAGGGGATAGAACTCAGCCCACACCATGCACACACATCTCATGTCCCCAGCATGCAGGCCTGGCCAAGACCCAATATTTACAGAGCGGAACCTCTCGGCAGGGAAGGGGCAAGGTAGGGAGTCGGTGGCGGGGTGTGCCAAGCCTCCCCATACACACCGTGATGATGTCATTCCTGCGGAAGCCCAGCTCATCATCATCGTGTCGTTCAAAGTCTAGCAGGGCCTTTGCTCGACGCCGGTGACTGCGTGAACATGCCACATAGTTCTCATGGTCCCGCTGGTGGCTCTCCATGCTGTAGTCTGGGGTCAGCTCCTGCAAGAAAGGACAGAAACAGGATGCATGGAAGGCCCACCATGGTGGGGAAGCTTCAGTGCCAGGACCAGGCTGGGGAAGAAGAGCCCCAGAGTCTGGCCTGGGGAGCTGTTGCTCACCACACTGCAGTTTTTGGGGTCTATGCACTGGAAATGTTGTGCCACGCGCAGGATGGCCTCTCGGAGGTCAGCCACCAGTTCTGTCTGCTTGATGTTCTTGGCCTTGAGGGCCTCCAGGTCATCCTCCCCTAGAAGGCAGAGTGTTCCCAGTGACCGCCCCTGCCCAGGCCCCAGGAGAGGAAGTGCAAATCCACAATCCTACGTGAGGGTGCTGCCTGCAGTGCTCACCAAAGAGCAGGGAGGTGATGGCCGACTTCCTCCGCTGGGTCCTACGCCGAACAACCTACAGGCAGGAAGAGGGGGTCAGCAGGGCCAGCCCCCATCAAGGAGGGGATGCTGACCCTCAGTATTTTACTAGTACTAACTCCTCTGAAATGGCCTGTGGCCAGCTCTGATGTACTCAGTTCAGGGCAGGCCTGTGCCCCTCCCAAACCAGGCCAGGCTCAGAGTGGCAGGATGCACAACATGGAGGAGGGCTGTGTCATCCCCTAACAGTGGTCTGACTGGGCCATGCTGGGCCCTGGGTGCTGAGCTGGGGTCAGGGATAGAGGATAGCACAGCAGGGAAGAGCCAGTCTGCTCCCCACAGCCCTTCTCACTCTGGCTTTGAGGACCACCTGCTGTGGGCTGAGCCTGTGCTTGCTTAATGCACCTGAGAGAGGTTGGCAGCAGTGCCAGTTCCCAGGAGCTGGCCCTGGTCTGCAATGAGGTAGGCCAAATGCTTGCGGCGTTGGGTCTCCACAGCCACATCAGTGAGGGAGCCGGCCAGTCGCATGGCCTCCCCCAGGAGCAGCTCTGCATCTCCAATCTGTGATGGAATGTCTGACAGTGTGTTGAAGATGGAGGCAGAGTTCTCAGACTGGATCAGTTCTTCCTCCTAGACCACATGAGGACAGAGAGGGGAGGGGTCTTGCATCTGGCACTGTCCTTGGAGACTTAGGTCCTCTGGCATGGCTAATAGGGTAGGGGCTGGTTCTGCAGGGCCCAAGGAGATCCTCTAGCCACCCACAATCAGGGACCTAAGCAGGGACCAGGGCTGGGCCACTCCTGCTGCAGCTTGGGTTGGTGCAGAAATGGAGGGAAGGGGATGTCCCCTGTGCCCACCAACTTTGGGCTCAGAGCCTGGAGCCCACCACATCCACCCAGAGGAGGGCACCATGGCCCCTGTGCCTGACACACGCCCCCTTCTTGGCCTGGAGACGGAGGGGCCTGGGAGCACCTTGAGGCGCAGCATGCCCAGCGTGGTCTGGAACAGCACCAGGGAACCCTCGTAGAAAAACAGGTCCCAGATGCGCAGCAGCAGCTTGATGTGCACCACGCTGGCAAAGGCCGTGAGGAACCAATGCAGCGTGATCAGGGACAGCTCTGCAATAGATACCAGAGCCAACAGGGCTGGGGACAACAAGGACAGCCCACTGGAGGCAGCCTGGGCAAGACACTTCCCAAAGAGTAGTGAGAGGGCAGAGGGGAAGGGGTCAGAGAATACCACGGAACAAGGACATAGACTGCATGTTCCTATGTCCACAGCTGGGCCATTTGCCTATGTCCAGAGGCCTCAGAGCTCCAGCGTCCCAGGACCTGAAGGCCAGAGAGGAAGAGAACTGCCAGGCCTTACCAATGTCGTGTTCCTGGAGCAGCTTGTCCAAACGAGGCAGGTACTGGACGATGAGATGGCGCAGGACTCGCTGGTCAGTCTGAACGCCCAACAAGGTGGTGCTGAAGTAGGAGGCAGGGAGCAGGTCCTCAATGATGGCACACATCATCCAGAACGCATCCTCCTCCTCCAGGAACAGCAGGAGGCAGGCAGCCACCTGGCCAGGGAAGAGGGACAAGGGACTTCTACCCAAGTCTCCATGTGAGTAAGGACAGGAATTCCCTCTGGGGAGACTAGTCAAGAAAAGCCTCTTGGGAACACTCCCGGAGACATTCCTTCTCAGGCTGTGGAGGGGCCTGCCTTATTTCAGGTCCCCAGGGCTCTGTTTTAACAGCAGAAGCAACTGTCCTGGCCTTCCTTGGGGACTGTCATCACATATCCTATTGGGGGCCTGGAGAGACCCTTGGGTACAAGCCCTAGCCCCATTAGCCCTCCTGGGGCTGTGCTTACCATGCCCGTGCCCTGGCAGTAGCCAATCTCTGGGTAGAGCCAGGCCAGTGCTCGCAGGACTCTGCGCAGACGGGGCACCCCGATGCTGTTCACGTTGGCAAAGCAGGCATTGCTGGGCATGGTGCGCAACAAATCTTTCTCGATCTGTTAGGTACCCATGACAACCCCACAAGATGACCCTGTGAGACACAGCTGTAGCCTGAGGTCCACAGTGGGGAGTTTCCCCTCCTTCCTTCAGGATCAGATCCCAGGAAATGTGGCACCAACTGTATCATAGTCACCTGGGAACTTCATGCCAGACCTACTGAAAAAGCCTGCAGCCTGGGGGTGTGTTTAAAATCCCCACCATTGTGGACCCCATCTCCTCCAAGTCCTTCCACATACTGGGGACCTCTGGGACAATTCTCCCTGCAGCCTACAAAGGACCTAGGAGACAGCAAGTTTCCTTCAGGGTCATGTGTGTAGGTGAGAGCACTGCTGTCCTTGCCAAGGAGACCAGTGAGGGCGTGCTCCAGGAACCCAGGTGACACCTCCCTCCCTCCACATGGTCTGCAGGCAGCTCCTCCTGCCTGTCCCTCGACCTTCCCACATTACCTGTTTGGCAGCAACAGTCTCATCATTAGAGCTGTTCTTCACAATCTCACGGTAGGACAGCTCGGAGTTACTCTTCTTCTGCAAGGCCCCAGAGAGCCGCATCCACAGCTGAGGGAAGGTGCCACAGGAGCACTCAGTCTTTTTTGTGACACCTGGTCAGAGGCTCTGAACCCTCTGTGACTCCCTGTGGCTCTCTCACCTGGGGTCTCATGCCATGTGGAATGCCAGCCAGCACCAGGGAGCGGAGCTTCTCAGAGCGGGGCAAGGAGACTGCAATCTTGTCCCAGGTGAGGTCCCCCACGTCATGATTGTGGGTGAACTCCAGGTGGGCCTGCCACCGCAGCCTCTGCGGGGCATCTTCCACCAGAGAAGCCCCAATCAGGGAGCTGGATCCAGGTTCAGCACCTTCCACCAGGAGAGGGCAGAGGAGGGAGGAAAGCGTGCTCCTCACTACATGCTCCCAGCAGCCACCCTCCTGACAGGACTAGGGGCTGTCTCCAGGCCCAGGAGGCTCCCTGAAACCCAGACCCTCTGCCAGCGCCTTTCCTAGGAGTTCCATGCACAGCCCTCCTGGCTGTGCAAACCTGAGCTCTCACTCTCTGCCCAAAGCTGCCCAAGTCTAGAAACTACTACTCCATAAGCTCAGGCCTGAACCTCCAGGTCACCTTTAGCTTCTTCTCCTCCAGACCCAACCAGATATTCAATATCCAATATTCAATCCACTGCAAAAATGGAAGGATCTGCCCTTTTCTTACCACCCCTAAGGCCAGACCACATCACAGTCCTTTGAGTCACAGCAGTGGCTATCTTGCCAGCCCCATAGCAGTCACAGTGGCCCTTCCAGGACACATCAGATTATGTGGCTGCTCCTGACATGTCTCAGACAAAGCCAAAAGCCTTCCAGGTTCCACTGCCTGCCTCTCATGACCTGCCCAACTGACCTCACCTCCTGCCACTTTTCTCTTGCTCATTCCACTCTATGACATGGGCCCTCTTGCTGTCCCCGACCAAACTCACTCCAACCTTGGGGCTTTTGTGCCTGTTACTGACTTTCCCCAGAGAAACTTGCTCCCTCGCCTCCTCCTAGTCTTTGCATGTATCTCCCCCTCAGAAACCTTGACAAAATCAACTCCCCTCTCTGCTATCCCCAGAATCACCCTTGTGGCTCTCACCCTAGCAGCTATGTGTCTGCTTGCTTACTGCCCGTCTCCCACCAGAACGGGACCTCCATGTGGTCAAGACCACTTTGGTTGAGGTGCTAGAGACACAGCTGGGAAGGGGAATAAGCCACCCTCCACTTTGTGAAATACTTGCTGCATGAGGGTCTCCTGCAGTCACCCAGAAACCTCTGTACTGCGAGCCCCACTGAGAGCTGCCTCCTCATCCATTTTAAGTCATGTCCTTGGCATAGTCCTCAAAATGTTAACCGTGACAACTTGACATACAAAAAGATGCACAAATCTTAAGTACACCTTTTGAGGAGTATCAAAAAACAAATTAGTTCTAAACATTATTCTAGCACAGTGATGCACACTATGACTTTGAATCCAGTGATCCATCAAGATTCAGAGGATTTCTGTTATAACAGAAAGTTCCCTGTGTCCCTCTCAACTTCAGCTTTTAATTTCCAACTGTTCATCAGATGATCAAGCAAAACATATGTCAGAACTGGAAATGAGTGACCTAAAGATGACTGCCTCAGCCAAATGACATGCTCCAGTCATAGTTCTGGACTGCTGACAGGTTCTGGCATATGGCCCTCCCAACAGCCTGCAAGGGCACCCAACCCAGGGACCCACCTACAGAAACATGGCTACAAGAATATTATATTAAATTCATTATAATTGGATATGGAAGCACTATTGAAAAATGTTTTTTTCTTTTTTTTTTAAGTTGTCAATGGACCTTTACTTTATTTATATGGTCTGAGAATTGAACCCAGTGCCTCACACATGCTAGGCAAGTGCTCCACAACTGAGCTACAACCCCAGCCTGAAAAATATGCTTTTAAAAAGGTCTTAACTGATACAGGAACTGCTCATGACATGATGTGCATGCAATGCAATCTTAGTTATGAAAAGTATATAAGGATGCACACAGCACAGCTAGGGAGGAAGGCACTAAGATGTCAGTAGTGATCTTCAGGCTGTAGGATCAGGAGCTAATTTTGTTTTAATCTTTATACGTTACTGTATTTCCCAAATTCTCTACAATAAACATAATTGTTTTTATTATCAGGTGAAGATCAATATATTTCTTGGGGGTGGTATTGGGGATTGAACCCAGGGATGCTCTGCCACTAAGCTACATCCCATCCTCCCCATTTTTTTTAGGGGGTTTTTTGGTACCAGGGATTGAACTCAGGGGCACTTAACCTCTGAGCCACATCCCAGGGGCACTCAACCACTAAGCCACATCCCAGGGGCACTCAACCACTAAGCCACATCCCCAGCCCTATTTTATATTTCATTTAAAGTCAGGGTCTCACTGAGTTGCTTAGCGTCTCACTGTTGCTGAGGCTGGCTTTGAACTTGCAATTCTCCTGCCTCAGCCTCCCAAGCTGCTGGGATTACAGGTGTGCGCCATAGCGCCCAGCTATCACATCCCTTTTTACTTTATATTTTGAGGAGGGTCCCACTAAATTGCCCTGGAAGGCCAAGAACTCGCATCCTGCTGAGATTAGTGGTAGCTGGGATTACAGATGAACACCACTGTACCTAGCAAGATCAGTATTTAAAAGAGGTCTCTGTTAAATTTTATGCAATACACAAATATGTAAAAACAAATCCCATTAATATGTACAAATATGATGCACCAATTAAAAAATGTAGAAAGGAAAAAAAAAACCAGAGGTCTCCATATACTTATAACAGTAGCACTCTCATATGTGCTTCTGTCCTTGAGTCTTACTGGAACGGGTGACAAAAGGGGCTCAGAGGTCATGTGCTGTGGACACAAGGACATCAGCAAGAACACCTAGGGGGCTCCATCTTACCTTCTTTGTCCACCCGAAAACCAAACTCATCGTAGCAGAACTCTGGCTGCTCTGCTGACTCTTCCTTCTAGAACCAGGAACAGGGATAAGTTGTCTATCCCCCAGCCTGGGGCCAGTTTCCAAAAGATGCCACCCACGTGGCTAACTGCTAACTTCCACCCAGATCAAAGGCTACCCTTTCAAAAAGGCTTCTCTGGTCATCGCTCACCCACAGGGGTCACTACCTGCTCTGAGCATTTTCTTTGTTGTTCTCAGAGTTCAAAGGTTACTAAGATCAATGCAAAACATATGTTTCATGCATTTCCATACCCAAAATACTCTTCCTCCTACCTAATGATTGATTCACACAGGCACGTAGAACTAAGATGCCATCTCTGGTGGTGACCCTGTGAGCCTGTGTGAACATTGTGAAATTGGCCACCCACTCCTGGGCAGCCTGCAGAGGTGGGTCCCTTCATGCCACAGCACAGGAGCACAGCAGGAGGGTGCCTGGCTGCACTGACTGCTGTACCTGAGTATACTTGGCCAGGATCTCCTGGGGCCATATGCTTGGAGTCAAGGCTGAGAAAGGGCCACTAGCAGAAGGTATGTGGCTTCCTACAACAAAAAGGACCAGGGAGAGAACAACTAAGAAAACCCAGAGGCAAAATTCATGTCAGAAACTCCACCCGCTCCAAGAGTGCAGTGCCAGCATTAAAGGGAATGGGCCATCTAGAGTAGGACTGAGGGGGAAGGAGGAATGGGAAGAACACCCTAGAAAGGAACATGCTTCTGGAAGAAGGGAGAAGGCAGCAGCATGTCCCCCAACATAACCAAACCCCATGTCCTTGCCCCAACCTCCACCTCATAAAGAAACTGGCAGGGAAGAGGGAAACTGGAGACCTGAGCAGGTAAGAGTTATAGTATCTGTCCCAGACAGCCCCAAACCAGAAGCCTCCCTTTCCCTTTCTCCATCTCTTTTATCTAGATGGCTGTTTCTGAAAATGGAAGTCAGTACCACTCTCTGGCTCCTGGTGAGGGCCCAGGCCCTGCTACCTGACATTGTGCTGAGCTGGCAGGTCTTCTGAGGATCCAGGCGTTTACTATCCTGATCTCTTAGAGATGAAAGGCTCCTCAGGCTTCATGGGCTCCAGAAACATCTGCCTGTTAGGAGACCAAAAGGCACCATCATAGCACCCCCTTTCCTGGGATGGGGTGAGCCCTCTCCACATGCAGTTTTCACTGGCCCAGTATAGTGGAGAGGGGAGTTGCCACACTGCTCGACATAAGGAAGGAAAAAAGTCACACCTTGCCTATTAAAATTTTAAATTAGGTTATGTTGTGGCTTGGATGTGAGGTGTCCCCAAAAAGCTCACGTGAGACAATGCAAGAAGGTTTAGAGGAGAAATGATGGGGTTATGAGAGTCTTAACCAAATCAGTGAATTAATCACCTGATTGGATTAACAGAGTAGTGATTTAAGGCAGGTGGGGTGTGGCTGGAGGAGGTGGGCATTGGGGGTGTGGCTTTAGGGTATATATTTGTATCAGGCTAGTGGAGTCTCTGTGTGCTTTCTGATCATCATGTGAGCCACTTCTCTCCACCACACTCTTCCACCATGTTGTTCTACCTCATCTTGAGTCCCAAGGAATGGAGTCTGCTATCTATGGACTGAGACCTCTAAAACCATGAGCCCCCAAATATACTTTTTAGTCATAGCAGCAAGAAAAAGCTGACTCAAACAGGCCACTTGGCTGGGTGTGCTGGCATGTGCTTGTAATCCTAGCAACTTGAGAGGCTGAGACAGGAGGACCACAAGTTCTAGGCCAGCCTAAGCAATAGTGAGGTTCTAAGCAACTTGGTGAGACCCTGTCTCAAAGAAATAAAAATAAAAAATAAAAAAGATAGCCAGGTGTGGGGCTCATCCTTGTAATCCCAGCATCTTGAGAAGCTGAGGCAGGAGGATCCCAGTGCAAAGCTAGCCTCAGCAACTTAATGACACTGTTAAATGAAATATAAGAAGGGCTGGGGCTGGAACCTCTTGAGTTCAATCCCTGGTACCAAATAATAGTAGTAGTAGTAGTAATAATAATAATAATAAAAAGGCTGGCAATGTAGCTTGATTGGTGGAGCACCCTGAGTTCAGTCCCCAGTAATGCAAAATAAATAGATAAATAAGGTTATGTGTCTTTATTGTTGACTCCTTTTTTAAGAGGACAAAAGGGATGAGAGAGGGGATTTGAAAGAAAGAGCCTCCTGTCTTGCCGGGGAGATATATTATTATTTTTTTTTTTAGAGAGAATTTTTAATATTTATTTTTCAGTTTTTAGGGGACACAACATCTTTATTTTTATGTGGTGCTGAGGATCAAACCCAGTGCCCCGCGCATGCCAGGCAAGCGCATTACTGCTTGAGCCACATCCCCAGCCCCTAAATATTATTTTTTAGTTTTTTTAAATGGACACATCTTTTACATTTATGTGGTGCTGATGATGGAACTCAATGTCTCAAGCATGCTAGGGGAGCGCTCTATCACTGAGCCCTAGCCCTAGCCCCAAGGGGATACACTTTGAAGAAGCTACAAAGCTGATGTTCTCATAGCTTGTGGCCCAGCACTAATGAAAGAGAACCAGGCATAGGGATTTCCACAGCAGTGTTTCTTCAGGAAGAAAGAAAACAAAGCCCAGCACAACCAAACCTCTGGAACAGGTTTCCTGAGCCCCAAATCTTTGAGGACTCATTTAACAGAACACAACACATCTCCTGAGTAGACCTCCCCCAGTTGTCCCTCGACATTCCTGTGCCAGCGGTCCACCTTACCGTATATTTTTTTTAAAGACAGGTTTCACCATGTACCCCAGGCTGGCCTCCATATCCTGGGCTCAAGTGACCCCGCTGCTTGAGTGCTCCTCCTCCCAGTCCAAGTGCTGGGACTACAAGGTTGAGTTCAACCACATTTTTTCACTAGGCTTACAAGCTGGGAAGCCAAGTTAGAAACTGCAATCTAACTTTAATATCTTCTGTCATTTCTAAAGCCCTGTCCCTGACCGTTTCTGTCCTTCTTAAAAAAAAAACCCAACAAGAAAAAGGCAAATAGCCCAATTTAAAAATCGGCAAAAGATCTGAATATACATTTCTTTAAAGAAGAGATGCTGATGGTGGGTAGGCAATTAGCAAAATTTAGCCATTAGCAAAAAGGAAACACAGCCACTTTAAGGAAAAAAACATTATCCTTACTTGAGCATAAATTAAAAAATAGGTATGTGAACAAGTTCCAGTTCTCATTAAAGATTTTTTGCTAATCTGGGAGCAAAGGGCCATTCTGTAGTTCCTCAGGACAAGTCACCAACGTTTACTACTGCCCTAGACATATGCCGATCATGCCAAGTTTGAGCTAAAGGTCAAAGTAGAAAATTCCTGACCAACACAGAGGTACCTGACAGGGAAGGGTGCTGCCTCCTGTCTGCAGACATGCTCTGCTGAGAACCAGAGGCCAGAGCCTGCTTTCCTACTGCATCAGCCATCCTAGGTTGGTTTGCTCTATGTGAAGACAACAGTGAAAGCTTAGTCTTCTTTCAGTGTAACACATGCCTCGGGCTTAATTTGATTCAGATTCTTAATTGAATAGAGCATTTTTTTTTGTACCAGGAATTGAACCCAGGGATGCTTTACCACTGAGCCATATCCTCAGCCCTTTTTAATATTTTATTTAGAGACAGGGTCTCACTGAGTTGTTTAGGGCCTTGCTAAATTGCTGAAGCTGGATTTGAACTTGTGATCCTCCTTCCTCAGCCTCCCAAGCTGCTAGCATAACAGGAGTGCACCACTGTGTCTGGCTAGAATTACATATTTTTATATTAAAGGGAATGACAGAAGTAGAAGTTTGAAAAATCTCATCAGGTGCCACTAATCTTCACAGCACATTTTGGAATAGATATCATCTGTTTCACATACAAGAGAAAATAAGCCTAGAAAGAGACTAGTATACAGTTCCCAAAGGACTCCCAGAACTGTGCCTGTCACAGACACCATGTGTCTCCACCAGGTTCGCCACCTTGATAGCTCTGGGAATGTAACCCTGTGCTGTTAAAACACACATTGGCTAAGAGCTCTGGGAGAGCTTACTGCAGTGGCAGTAGCACTCTTATTAGTGTCATACAGAAGCACTTCACTGCCTGTTCTCTGCACCACAATTCCAGTCAGGCCTGAGTTCCACCTCTCACTTCAATCCCCACTTATTACAACCCTGGCTAAGTTTACTTGGCTTCTTTGAATCTGTTTTCTTATTCATAAAATGGAATAATACCACCTCTATCTTACCAAGGTTACGAGGATTAAGCAAGATAAAGCAAACAAGGCCCTTAGCACACTGCCTTAATTATCAGGCAATTCATCAGCCTAATAACTTCTAGAAAGTTACTGTTAGTATCTGGACCCTCTACGTTATGATATACTAAAAGCTATTATACTAAGCCACTTGAAATTGCTGATATTAAAACTGGGTGTGGTGGCACATGCCTATAATCCCAGCTACTTGGGAGGCTGAGACAGGAGGATTAAGACTGTGCCAGCCTCAGCAGCACAGTGGGAAGGAGGGAGGGAAGGTAGGCAGGGAGAAAGAAAGAGACAAAGGAATGGAGGAAGGGAAGAAGGGAAGAATGAGGAGGGGGAAAGGAAGGAGAAAGAAATAAATAAATTGCTGATTTTCATCTATGACAACCTATAAAAACAATGTCATGTTTGAATGTAACATTCCAGTTGAGATCATGAGAAAGACTGCTCCTCACTAACATCCTAAATGTTGTTTCTTTCTTCTGGAAGGGCTGAGTAAAGTAGAGGAAAAGGGGTTGCCTGAAACAGTGGCGATGAGGTGCCCTGACTGAGACATAGATATTTATCTGCTGCTCCCTCTTCTGACCTCAGCTGCCTCCCACTAGTCATTCAGCAAACAATGACTAAGCCCTCCCAACCAGGCAGGTTCTAAGGGAACCAGAAAGAAACAGAAAACAGATGAGGAAAAGCACAGCAGTAAGAGGAAATAAAGCAAGGTAAAGGTAAAGTCAGAAGCCAGGGGCTGTTTATATTCAGTGGTCAGAAAAAGCCCTTTGAGGATAAGATGACCTCTGAACAAAGACCAAAAGGAAGAGAGGGATCAAGTCATAGCTGAGGGGAGGGGATCCAGGTAGAAGGTGTAGCAGGTGCAAACCTATCAAGTCCAGGGCACACTGACAGGTGGAAGCAGCAAAAAGGCATCTAATAGGCTAAAGTGGCCCAGGGTAGCCTCAGGGGAGAAGAGTGGGAAGAGGCAGCAGGGGCCAGGAGACTTCAAAGTAGGACAGGCCTTTGGAATTTATTCTCAGTAAACCTGAATCTACTTCGGTTTTGATGAGTTCTCTTGGGACAGAAGGTGGTGGATGCATATAGACTTAGCTTAGTTGGGGCACTGAGAAATGGTCAGATTTTGGGTATACTTTAAATAGTTTGAAAGATTCACCTCTTAAGTTTATACACACATACATACACACACACACACACAAATATGCATACATATATATTTAGAAATAACTCATATATGTAGCTGCCCCTGATGTAATACTACCTGTGGGCAGTTTTTCCTGCCTTTGGTCACTATGGAAATCTGCCTGAAAGCAGCCATCTAGGAGTTGGAAAAAGCTATCCAGAGTTAGCCACATCATTCCCCGACCCACCTACCCACTCCTGGCAGCACAGCCACCCCAGGGCTCAGGGGTATCAGAAACAAAAACTTTGGCACTGAGAAGGAGTTTTTTGTAATTAGCACAGTGCAGTGGCATAGGCCTGTTATCCCAGTGGCTCAGGAGGCTGAGGCAGGAGGATCTCAAGTTCAAAACTAGCCTCAGTAACTTAGTAAGGCCCTAAGCATCTTAGTGTATCCCTGTCAGAAAAAAAAAAAAAAAAACAGGGCTGGGATGAGGGTCAGTGATTAAGTGCTCCTGGGTTCAATCCCCCCATACCAAAAAAAAAAAAAGGAAAAAAAAAAAGTCCATGCTTAAAGGTCCTAGTCTTCTGACTGCTTCAAGTCTTTTCCTCCTTAGTTTGCCAATCCCACAATTTCCAGTAAGACAAATTTTATTCACAATGCAAAGATGAGCTGTCACTATAAATTCATGTGCATATTTGTGAGTA